AGTATTTTAAAACGTCTAATAAGTTTAGATACCTACTCAAATAAGTTTATCTTCAAATATAGCATAGGGTAATTTTTTATAATTGCGTTAAAAGATAACAATTCTTTAGGTTTTAAACTCTGAATTTTGAAAACAATCAAAATCAAAAGCGTGACAATAGCAGAGTAAAAAAAAAATATATATATTTCAGGTTTTTCTAGGGTTAACACATATTAGGAAAAATATTTTATAGGAAATCAATATCTTTGCTAATTTCATTAATTCTATGCTGATGATAACCAAATAAAATAAAGAAAATAAAGTTGGATAACTGGATTGTATCTTGTGGTTTTTCCAGCCAATAAAAATGTACCGACAACAACGGAAACCTACAACACCAACATTATATATTTTTTTTATTTTCTTTTATTACCGGTGTTATAAAATTGAATTCTGAATTAATGACTATCAATGTTCAACTCCGTATCCTTGTAATTTTGAACCCAACTCAGAAGACATTGGGAAAAACTAGCTTTATCATGGAACTAACCTAAACTTGCTTTAAATGGAGAAGAAAACCACTAGAACTTCCCTTTGTTAGCCCAATGACAAGAGGAATCTAACCCATGATCCGCCTGTTACTGAGTATATTTTATGTCAGCACTGTGATATGAGCTACCCGGGTGCAGAACTCGTATTGACCAGCCAACACTGGGATTCGCACCTGAGTCACCTCATTGGAAGGCGAATGCTCTATCACCTGATCAATCGTGGTTCGCATCAAACATGCTGCAAAGTTTTTACATTTCATTACCTGTTCAGTAAGTATAACCTGTTCAGAACTTCTTGATCGAACTAATCAGAATTTGCTTTACATGACAAGGAAAACCACAAAACCGAACCACGGTTAGTCTGACTGTAAAAGCATTCTAACCTATGATCCGTCTACCGTAGATACTATTTTACGGCAGTACTATGGTTAATGCAAGTCGGAAGTAGAACCAGCCACTGCTGGGATTCGAACCTGGTTCATCTCAGTGGGAGATAAGACCCCTTTCCCCTCAGCAACTGCTGCTCATCTTCACTAGATTTTTGTAGATTTAAAATGTGGTTATAATTTTACTTTATTTTGAAAAAGGATTGTAAAAATATGTTAAGGAAAGTGATTATCACATACAGTAAACATTTAATAGTAGAATAACATCGAAAAAGACTTCACACTGAACAGTGAGTTTCATTTACAACAGCGCCAATATATACAACGCAAATGAAAGTTTAAATTAAACAATAAAATAATTTCTTTTAAGTATTTCTTTTTTGGCTACAATAACTGAGTTAGTTTCTCAAAAGAATGTCGCGGATAAAAGGCAGTTTCCATTAGGATTCGAAATTGAATTTCATCTGTGCGAAGACACTGCAAACTAACACAAGAAACAACGATATTTTGCGAGAATAGAATTGTTTGCGAAATCCATTTAAAATAGAATCCGGCGAAACGGGAATTGAAATAAGCGATTCGCGTAATCGGTTTACGAATGAATAAAGAAAAGAACGGGGGAAAAAATTTTTTAGTCAAAAGAGATAAAGAAAAACTAGGCTTAGAATTGAAATCTTATTTCATTATTTAAATATATTTTGAAGACAATGAATGGCTGTGGTTTTAAATCCACAAAGGTTAAGATAAAGGCTTGATTTATTTTAGTATAGCAGACTAAGGGATGGTAATAAAAATTAAAAAAACAGTAAACAGTTATTACAAAATTTCATTTCATGGTTTTTATCTTATGATTATGTTTTTAGTTTTGAACTTTGCTTACCAAATGACCGAGACGAAGTCTTACAATATTTAATATTAAATGTAGGGAAATCAGAAAATTAGGTAATTTAGCTACAAGACAGTGGCCACTTTTTCAAAAATTAAAAACATTTAAGCGATAAAAAAAAAACTTTTGATATTACTAATGGTTCTTTTTGAGAAATATTTTTCAAAATACGGTAAACATTAGAAGGTTCTTTCTTAAAACGAAGAAAATTTTTTATCAACAAGGATATAAAATATTTTTTAGAATATTAAGAAATATTAAAAATAAAATAATTTCAAAAATAAATCACAACTTCACTATTTGAACAATAATTAAAAATTATATAAATAAAAAAAAACTTAAACTGAAAGCAAAAACTTGTTTGCAGTAGTTATTTAAATAGCACAGAATAAATAAGCTATTTTTATTTAATCATTTAAATAATTTCAGAATATTTGCGTTCATTATTTGTCCTTTAAAAACAATGTACCTTTCGCACAGAACTTTTTAACTTGAAATAGGCTTAAAATAACTTGTGTTTTATTCTCTGAACAGTCAATAAAATGCTCTAGTACTAAGTTGCGTCATAATGATTTTAAAGTTCGACATATATGTTCTGTTTATTGCTTTATTTCGGCGCAATTTATCATCAAATATTATTTTTTATCTTTTGATCAGAAAATAAGTCTTTTAATTCAAAACTGAAAAGAATGTCTTGCATATTTGATCCTTTTAAAAAAATTTAACCAGAGAAAAATTATAAATTTTTAATAATTTATCATGAAAAAGTTGTATGGAATTTTAGATGACATTAAATATTTTAATTAGCAAACATATAACATTATTACGAACACCGATCACTCAGAATTTTTTAATTTTTTTTTTTTTGTAAACTTCAAATAATTATGAAGTCATCTGTTACATTACCTAAAAGCAAATGTATTTGGAACACCAGACAGCAAAAAATATTTCAATTATCAGTAGTAACGAAATAATACAGAAAATCCTAAGAGAATTTCTGATAAACATTATTTTATAGGAAAAGTAAAACTCTTTTTTTAAAATAGCAAAGATCACAGATTTCAAAAATAATATAATATATCAGGATGTAAAAAAGCAATGTAAAAATTATAAAAGATTTAAAAAATTAATATAAATTTTGAAAAATTTATTCACTCAAATTCAAGAAAATATTTTTTTGTTTAGCGCTTTTGAATTTAAAGTTTTTCGGGCAACTCCCAATTTCAAATTGTTCAAAATAGCGTTTTATTGAAATTACTACGATTTCCATATATGCTATAAAATGTTTGTGTATATTGTGCTGTTATCAAGGTGAAAATGACATATAGTTGCATAAAATACCTAGCTAAAAGCAATAAGAAAAACGAGTTTATTATAAAATTTAACTTTTGGAAAAGTGTAACTTATCATTGTATTGTTCACAACTTTTCACTTGTATAGCAATTTTCATAATATCTCATTAAACTTCATAATAGATTCCGATGAGCAGCATTGGATCAGTGGTTAAGGCTCTTAACTATCGTGGGGAAGAACTGGCAGCTAGAAACCCACCCAGCTTCAAATAAGTGGTTATCAGCTTGACTGGAAAGCAAAGGCGGTATGCGCACAATGCTGACTGCACTGCAACATTCAAGCAGTTGGTCGCGAAGTTGTAGAGCCTTAGCCTCGATGATCTCCTGGCCTACAATGAGCTGTAACGTAAATACTTTACTTTTTTTAATAGTTCCCAATAATTTCAAACGTATTTACACAGTTATTTAATATTATAACACAGGAAAATTTTTTAATAATTTTAGTTTTTCTTTTCCTTCAACATTACCTATTTTAAATGCTTAAACTATTGCTTATTAATGCTGACGGATAATAGCAAGTTTAAGATTATTAAGTTAATGTAGCTAATAAGTAACAAACTATCTTTTTCTTTTGTAATGTAATTTTAGCTATTTAAAGCCAATTTTTCGTTAAAACTAGCTTTTTTTTTACATTCATTTAATGAGCATATTAATTTTAATTTAAAATGAAAAAATTATTAAAATAAGAATTAAAAACTAAACTGTTTTTAATTCTTATTTTAATAATTGTTTATTATTCTGATTTTTTCTACCGTAACTGGATTTCAATACAGTTCATTAATTCTATAGAAAATGTGACAGGCCATTTAATACTCATTTCATAGAGATGAAATAATTTTTTATATTTTCATTACACTTGACTTCTTAGGATGTTGTTATAGGGAATGAAGCAAAGAAAAAAAAGAAGCAAATACTGCTTTTGTAAAAAAAAAGAGAAAAAAAACTTACTTTTCTGCAAATTCTAACTTTTTCTTTTTGTTCTTTAAAAGTTTTATGCATTGCCTGTTCTTCATTTGAGCGGATGAATTCCCAGAGATCAGATGTTCGTGATGCTGAAAAATTTAAAGCGTTTGCCTCGATTATTTAGAAAGTCAAATAATAAAAAGAAGTTTTAAATTTTACGCTTTAGGTATTCTATTAAATTTTTTATTTGCTGGATTAGATCAAATCTACCGTCGTAACAGTTCATGCGTTCTAAATAGTATTTGTTTTTGCAATTTTCGTCGTTCCATCGGGTGTTCTAAAATAAAAATGGTTGCAAAATATCGATATTTAATCTTAAGAATCAGAGGGGTGCATTCACTTTTAGGACAGTTTTCATATCATTTTGTGTGTGTGAAGATTGTTTTATGCTAGTTTAAGAAGTATTTAGAAGAATGACCACGTTGTAGCAAAAGTGGTGTAAAGACAGCAACATTTGCAATAGCCTAAAATTCTGCTGTGTCTGAAACAATTTATTTTAAAACAATAATTAGAAATATATATTTAAAAAAATGATTAAAAAGTTTACTGGATGAACATTTAAAATAATAATTATTGAAATTACGAGAATATAGAAAAATCTTTTGTAGAATTACAGTGAAACCTCCAGGAAAGATCACCTCTATGTATTGGCCTAATCTTTTTATGACCATTTTGAGAGGTACAGAATTTTTTCCATATACTTTGTGTTGAAGAAAACCTTTACGAGAGACCATCAAAACCTCTCCCAGTGGCCAAACCTACTTCTACACCAAATGCGGAAAAGGTAAAATAAAGAAAAATGAAGAAGTATCAAAGCGAAAGATATTAACATAACAAATAAGTATTATATTAATTAAAATGTATTCAATATATGTGTTGTTAGGCTCTCATTTAGAGAACTCTTTTTAGCGATCTCTGAAAAAGAATTACAACCTCATGTTGCGTCAGGGTACACCAAAGAAGATACTATCAATGATTTATTTTTAGAGTAGAAAGTTAAATTTAAGAAAAAGTTCTCTTGGGGAAAAAAACCAAACATCTTATAAAGTCGAAGAATATTAAAAAAAATAATTGGCTAGCAAAAGCATGAATGAAAGTAAAAATATTTAAAAAATAACGGGCTAGCAAAAGCATGAATAAAATAAAGTAAACACATAAAGAGATTAATAATTAAAAAAAGCAGACGATAAAAACGCAGAGCTATAAGCGATAAGCAGAGAGCTCGCCGCACTTAACTGTACTCAATACTCAATAGCAGACGATAAAATTAGAACAGAGAGTTGTTGATATTTGTATAGTAGTTTTGGTTTTTGAATTTGAAGTTTATTTTAACCCGTTACGTTACGGGACTTTCTATATTTTATTGAAATATTATTANAACTAAATGAAAACGTGATAAATTAATGTCTGATATTTACAGGCTCCCGCTAGACGGCGTACTCGAGCGTTGCGATCGCGAATAGTAGTTTTGGTTTTTGAATTTGAAGTTTATTCTAACCCGTTACGTTACGGGATTTTCTATATTTTATTGAAATATTATTAAACCGATGCGGGTAATTTAATGTCGTTACTGTATGTGTTGTGGTGTTAAATAAATGTTTTTTTTAATAAAACAAAGAACTGTTTTAATAAAGCTTGATACGTTACAATCTCAAGCAAACAAACTTCTTCTCATTTTTTAAAGCTGACTAATTTTCATGATATAAGATTAAATGTAAACTTGTACAAAAAACATAATTGTTTATTTATTTAAAATAGTTTTATCATTCATAATTGGTGAATTTGTTTTTACACATAATTATAACAGTAGGGTTCATTTTTATTGATGCTAAATTTTATTCATCGATCCAGTTTTCATGAAGTCAACACAAGGGGCATTACAGCACCAAGAAAATGACACCGATTAAAATAGTTTGCGAAAAATCATGTACCTTTTATAACATTTTGAAGTCAATGGAGGTAACCTTTACGAACGGCCAACCTTTATTTCACTGTGGAACAGAGATGGTCGCTCCCGACAGGTTTCACTGTATTTCAAAACTGAACTTTCCAGCAAAATATAACTTTTTGTTCTTTAGAAGTTTTATGCATTTCCTGTTCTTCATTTGTGCGAATGGATTCCCAGTGATTAGAAGTTGATGATGCTGAAAAATGTAAAGCGTTTGCATAGATTATTTAGAAAGCCAAATTATTAAAAAAAAGAGTTTTAAATTTTGCGCTTTAGGTATTCTGTTTAATTCTTTGATTGCTGGATTAGGTCAAATCTACCATTTTAACAGTTAATGAGTTCTAAATAGTATTTTTTGAAATTATCGTCGATTTTAAAATGAAAATTCGTGTAAAATATCAATATTGAATCCTACAAATCAGTGAGTGGGGCAGTTTTCATATTGCTTGCACGACATTCTTACACGACTCCTGTACAATTTTATTACTTGTATGATTCCTTTACTTGTGCAACAGTTTTCATATCATTTTGCGTGTGTGAAGATTTATGCTGATTTAAGAAGTATTTAGAGAATTAACTAAAATCTTATATTGCACCAATTTTATTTCAAACTAATAATTAAAAAGTTTACTAATTAAATATTTAAAATAATAATTATTGAAATTACGAGAATATGGAAAAATCTTTTGTAGAATTATTTTAAAACTGAACTTTCCATTCCGTTCTAACAATAGGGAAACACGAATATTTTAAATTTTTACTGAAACGAGCTTAAACTTAAGAGCCTGATTGAAAAAATAAGATTGGTTAAAAAGTTAATGTAACTACGGTTCCTGGGTTAAAAGATGCCCCTTAAAGTTTTAGTTTATCTAAATTTTAAACGAAAATCTTATACCACAGATGTAGATGCATGTCAGTTAAGATGACCACCTTAGCTTATAGGTCACCGGTGTCATCCTTGCTAAAGATAGTTTTTTTTTTTTTTTTTTTTTTAAAAATTTCACTCCCTTAGCCACTTTATGCCCTTGGGCACATACAGGGAACTTGAGCTTTTTATAATTATAATTGCTAACGACAGTCCGTTGGACTTCTCCATATAACAGAATTTTGACGTTGAATACGAATTCATTCATTTTATTATACAGCTTAACGTTACATATTATTTCTGATTTTTTCTACCGTAACTGNGTCAGCGGGACGTTGACGTCACGCCGACGCCCAGATAAGGCGCTTGTCCTAAGAAACCAGACCTTAAGAAACTTGAAATTACGAAGCGTAGAAAAGCAGCTACAGAGTTGAAGTTTAACAAACTGAAAGGGCTATTTTTATTTATAAACTACAAATTAACTTTTTTCGAAATTCTTATTTGCTTGAAGTTTTAAGTTAGTCTTTTTTTTTTTCGAATATATTTCTCCTTTTTTTTCTTTTTTTTTTCTTTACAATACATTTTGTTTTGAACCGTAAAAACTGTAAATAATTTTTAGAATATTAAAAAATATTCAAAAGAAAATAATAAAAAAAATATTTGAAAATTTAATTTATTTGAAAGTTATTACAGTTTTAAGGGGTTTTTTGATTCCTGTCTTCCTTTCACTTTCTTAGCAAAAATAGTGTCAAAAGTAGCAAAATAAATACTAAATAAAATAAAAATTAACAGAAAGATATTGCATGCTGCCAGATTTTTAATAGTAACATTTATATCGAAATTTTTAAAATATATTAAAGACTTAAGAGGGATGTTATAGATTGTTAATAAGTAAAATAACTTCTAATTCATCATTTCTAATTTTGTCACACATTCTGTATGTTCTTAAAGTAAATATTTCTTCCAAGCATGGCTAATTATTTTTCAAATTCAAGTAATCGCTCATTTTGTTGCGATTGAAATATTAGCAAAATATTCTTACATAAAATTAACATGCGTTTTAATTTTATGAACGTAATGATCTTTTTTATACTGGCTTATAAGGAAAAAAAGAAGATTGAGACTTGAGATTCGACCATGGGGGCTGGTGGGCAGAACGAGTAGGCGCCTGAGCCTCCTACTTAGCTAAAAGACCGTTATCTCATACAACGACAAATCTTTTCTTAAATGTGCCATCTGAAAGGAACTGGTCCGCCACTGGATTAATCATAAAGACACGTTTCTCACTAGAACACCGAAGTCTAGCATCATAAGTTGACACTCAGTGAGCGGGTAGGTGATCACTTTGATCAGCCTACGTTGTCACCGAGGATGCGAGATCGGCCCTCGGTAAGGCTTGATTTCTTAGGACAGGTCGGCGTTACAAAACGTCAGTTTGAAGCGAGCGTTAACCCCAGATTGGTCAATTTGTGAGTTAGACAGCATACGCCATCGAACGCTCAGCTTGAACGACGACTGACATCCGAATCAACTGCAGTTGGATTACAACGTAACGTTAACGGCAGAAGCAATGGCGAACAATATCCAACAGAGCATTGAAATCAGCCAAGATTTTTATTTTAGCATTAAACATTGCTTCTTTTTCTTGCTCTTCTTCATTTAGCTGAGCCATAATGTGTTTTTTCTTAGACAAAGTCATTACTTTTGTTCTTTAAAGCACTGGACGACAATGACAAAATCAATATAAAGACAAATTCAAAATAAATATTTGTTTACGCTAATAACGCACGCCCAATGCGAGATAATGTCAGCGTTGGACCGACTGCTCACGCTGAGCTTACAAAACAGTATTTTGCTGGCGTCAGCTGTACGTCAACTTCCCGCTGACGCCCAGAGAAGGCTCTTGTCTTAAGAAACCAGGCCTTCAAACTGCTCAACCGCAAACTGTTCGACTTCGTGCGGAGATCGTCAGACTACCAAAGCGAAGGTGCCATCCTATCTGCAGAGGATGAAAATTGCGACGGCATGTCTTCGGTTCATTCTCAGGGATGTTTCCCAAACCGTCACTAGTAGCCTATGGTGCAGCTCTAGTGCAACATAGACTATTACTATAATGAAATGATTACTGCTTGGCAATACAAAAAATCTACGTATTAATTATTCTATTTAACCCAAACGCCATTTCACTGTATTTTGAAACACTTTTTATTCTGATTGTCTTAAAATCAATTTCATAAGATAAATAGTAAAGCATCTAGTTGTATAAACTAAGTAAAAACAACACATAAATTTCAAGCTATTTCGATATAATAACATTTACTTTCTCTTCCTTTGTGGGGCAGAGAGGCTCTATTTTGCCGTATCATGAGATACGAAAGAAATAAAACGATTTCAGAATCGTTTAGTTTTTTCGCACTTACAAGAAAAATTCACTGAGCAATAACTAACAAAAGAGCGCATCCGGAAAACTTTAACAAGTCGTTTGTTGAACAATTCCACCCATTGTGAAACTATGCTATTTTCCTAGCATCACGTCCACCAGAAAATATAAAAGGGGGAAAAAAAGAAGGAAATTTTCCCTCTCACAACAATATCTTCCCTAAAAAGACATTTTCTCTGGGTTTTTTTTTCCCTGATCTTTTTTTCTTTTTTTGGTTCTAGAACAGAGTCATAGTACCCTATTATCCGAATCAGCGAGAGTGAAAATAGTTTAGGAAGTAGAGCTGCGAACTAGAAAAATGCTTTGTACGCTTTCATTCGTCTTTGAAAGAAAGAGTGCAGAACGTGATGAATGCTAGCTCGTTTCTTTTGAAAAAGGAAGATATCCAATAAAAACCACAGTTTCTTTTTTTATATCATGAAATAACTGTAGCTTTTAAATGTGTAAAGTAGAACTTTTATTTCATTTAGAAATGTTATTGTTTAGGAATATAAATGTTTCGTTTTTCATCATAAAGCAACATTAGTTCATTGCACACAGCACCAAGCGTGACCATTATAACCCTTGTTTTCTTTAATTCTGTAATTAAGCGCATTAATTCTTTAGGTGTGAAATAATTAAAAGAGAAGACCTTAAACTAAATTAAGTGATATGCCACAATTTTCCTTTCACTTAAAAAAAATGGATACTCAAATAGCACGGAACTTTCTTTTTGATGAAACCTCTTCCTGATATATAC